CTTTGGCTTTTTCTGGACCTTGAGCCTGCTGGTCTTTTTTTTTTTTTTTAATTTTTTTTGTTTTTCAACGTTTATTTATTTTTGGGACAGAGAGAGACAGAGCATGAACAGGGGAGGGGCAGAGAGAGAGGGAGACACAGAATCGGAAACAGGCTCCAGGCTCTGAGCCATCAGCCCAGAGCCCGACGCGGGGCTCGAACTCACGGACCGCGAGATCGTGACCTGGCTGAAGTCGGACGCTTAACCGACTGCACCACCCAGGCGCCCCGAGCCTGCTGGTCTTAAGACCGGAGCTACACCACGGTTGTCCTGGTGGCCTTCAGATTTGGACTGGAACTACCCACTGGCTCTCTCGGGCCTGCAGCTCACCAACTCCACCTGCACAGTTTGGGACATGTCAATCTCCACGGCCGTGGGAGCCTGTTCTTTGTAACAAATCGTTCTCTCTACGGGCATCCTAAAGGTTGTGTTTCGCGGGAGAAGCATGACTAATACAAGGAGGTTTTACTAACACCAGACAAGTCAGTGGCTCATAGATGTCGGAGCTAGAAATCAAACACTTGCCTCAGTTTACAGATGTTATGTGCGAGCCCAAGAAGGAAGGTTCTTCCCGCTGCACATTCCACCAACCACGCTCACTTAGCTGATGCTTGGAGTCTCCTTAACTGGAGACCATAATTAGAAATAAGACTTGGGGTGCCTGGGTGGCTCAGCTGGCTAAGCATCCGACTCTTGGTTTTGGCTCAGGTCATGATCTCACAGTGCATGAGTTCGAGACCCACATCTGGCTCCATGCTGACAGTGCAGAGCCTGCTTGGGATTCTCTCTCTCTCTCTCTCTCTCTCTCTCTCTCTCCTTCTCTCTCTGCCCCTCCCTGCTCATGCTCTCTCTCAAAATAAATAAAAATTAAAAAAAAAAAAAAAAGAGAAAGAAGACAAATATCCCTGGGAAGATAAGGTACTGACACGCATCCGTAAGAGAATACAAGTGACTCAGTATGTTTTCGGAGGAGAAATTTTCGAAGGGGGATAGCAGAGGTGGAGGGTGGAAAGACAGACATAGTTCCTACCCTCTTGGAGGTCCTCGGCCAGTGAGAATTTCAGAGAAGTGCAGAAGTGACCTGTGGAGTCGGCATGGTTTGGAGGCAAGGGGGCTCTCAGGACGATGGGAGACAGGGGACGGGGAGGACGGTGGGGGCCACAGCCCTCTCACCTCCTCATTACTCTGTCGAGAGCTGGCTCAGAGCAGTGCAGGCTTTGCTAGGCTGGGAAGCTGAGACTGTCCCTGCGGGGGGACGAATGGTGGAGGTGGCCCACGCCTTCATTTCAGTGAGCTCACAGAAAACTTCTGAAAATACAGAGCTCTAGCGGTAGCGCTTACATCTTTTAAAAAAGAACATTTTTAGTGCATGCCTTCTGCCTTCCTAGTTACGCTGGGGGGTGCCGTGGGTGCAGTGGGAGGCGGGGTATCCGGAGCGGTGAGGCAGCCAGCAGCCTATTTTCAAACCTTAGGTGTAATGGGGCTTTTTTTTTTTTTTTTTGCTTTTTGTTTTTGTTTTTGCTTTTTGGCTTGCATGAAGCTTATGATGGATTTTTCTCTTTGGGCCAAAGAGAAAGCGCATCTGGCCACGACAGTAACTGCCCATCTATTTAGAGCAAGGGCAATGGGCAAGACGGTGAGGATACTTGAAACCCCATCGTGTGAGGAAGGTGAAGGAAAGGAGGATGTGTTCAGCGCGGGAGAGAGCCCCTCAGGGGGCTGGGGAGCAGTCTTCAGCAGCTGTCGGAAGGGCTGACCTGGGGACGAAGGAATGGGGTCGTACCGTGTTCTCCGGAGCGCAGGGCTGGGGAAGGCTCCGGGAACACAGACTGCGAGAGTCAAGGGGTAACTGGGCTGTTGCGGGGGCTCAGGCGTTCTCCGCACTGGAAGTCCCGGAACACGGGCCGGACAAGTGCTTGGTGCGTGTCAGGGAGGAGATTCATGCACAAGGAATGGTTGGTCTGCACTCTTCTTAAGTACTTCTAACCCTGGGATTCTTTGATACGGGGCTGTGGAGAATGACCGATTGCCACAAATAGTGGGGTCCGAAGAGGAGGAACGTGACCATTCACCCCGCCCAACAGGTTGGTCCGTGCTGTATGAAGTGCTCCGCTCGGCTAGAGAAACTAAGGCCTCCCTCCCAAGGACACAAATGGCTCTAAGAGAAAGAAGCTTATATAGGCTGGAAACAGGGGTACACTTTTCCTCCACTCCTGTTTGATACAGAACTAGGGGAAGGTGGCAGACTTTGGCTAGAACCCAGGCGACTGTTTTAGGACAGCTAAGGAGAATGTCTCCGTAGAAGGGAGGTGGTCGGTAGGAAATACAAAGAGAGGAATAGATGAAGACGGTGTTTGGAGTGACTGGCCCCACGCTGTTCAGAAAAGGGGCTCTCTTGTCTGTGGCAGGCACAGCCCTTGGTGCAGCTGCAACATCTAGTTATCAGGTGCTATGGTCCAAATCTCGGCCCCTCCCCTCCCCAACTCATATATTGAAATCTTAATCCCTAAAGACCATGGCATTAGGGGTTTTTTTCTTTAAATCTTTATTCATTTTTGAGAGACAGAGAGAGACCAAGCGTGAGCAGGGGAGGGGAAGAGAGAGAGGGAGACACAGAATCTGAGGCCCGCTCCAGGCTCTGAACTGTCAGCACAGAGCCCGGCACAGGGCTCGAACTCACGAACGGCAAGATCACGACCTAAGCAGAGGTCGGATGCTTAACTGACTGAGCCACACGGGCGCCCCAAGATGACGGTGTTGGGAAGTGGAGCTTTTGGAAGGTGCTTAGGTCATGAGCGTGGCACCTTCCCGAATGAGATTCGTGCCCTTGTATAAGAGACCCCACAGAGTTTCCTCAGCCCTTCCACCACGTGAGGGCACAGAGAGGGCTGACAGCTGTGAACCAAGAAGCAGGCAGTCACCAGAATTCCACCACATTGATGCCTTCCTCTTGGGCTTCCCAGCCTTCAAAACTGTGAGAAATACATTTCTGTGGTTTGGAAGCTACGCAGGTTGTGGTACCTTGTTAGAATAGCCTGAATGGACCAAGATGTCACAGAACGTTTGATTCATCCAACCCCTTCCCGCTGCCCAGACACCATGCTCCCCAACGAGCATGTCCATGGTTTGGCTTTTCGTATTAGTTTCTCTACGGCAAAGGTGTGTGACAGAGGACTCATCACGGTACCTACCTCAGTATTATAATTATTTACTTGACAGTCTATTAACCTAGACTGAACTTTCTCGTATCTCTCCCCCCGCCCCATTAGCACAGTGCCTGAAACGTAGCAGGAACTCACGAAATCTGTTAAATGAATGAAGCCCGGAAGCAACAATCACATCTCACTGGGGCTGGGAGAAGCAGTGAAGAAGTGACACTAAGAACTGGGAGTTCTGGGGCGCCTGGGTGGCTCAGCCGGTTAATCTCTTGATCTTGACTCAGGTTATGATCTCCCGGTTCGTGAGTTCGAGCCCTGCGTTGGGCTCTGTGCTGACAGTGAGAAGCCTGCTTGGGATCATCTCACTCTCTCGTTTTCAAAATAAGTAGATATTAAAACAAAAAAAATTTTTTTAAAAACCTGGGAGCTCTTAGTCAAAAGTTACTAAGTCCCTATTATGTGCCAGGCACAAGGCTGGGACACACGGGTTGTGCGAAGATGACAGCCACACTGTTCGCTTTCAGGGAACTGTGTGGAGTGGAGGGGACGGTCCAGGCTGAGAGAGCAGTATTGACGAAAGACTGGAGTCCTGGTGGTGTTGGACGTGTTCGAGGGCCTGTAGTTCGTGAGGCTGGATTAGGCTGAAAAGGGATCGGAATGCAAAGGGTCACTGACCAAAACAGTGATTAGTGATGATCACCGGAAGGGTGACGTGGCCTTTAAACCTTGCCCATCACAGGTCTGTCAGGTTCGAGTTTGGACTTTACCTTGGAAGCAGCAGGGAAATCAATTGTTGGACACTCTGAAACAGATGAGTGTCGCAGTCAAGTGTGTGTTCCAGAAGGTTCCCTCGTGGCAGTGTGGACGTGGGCTGACATGCCTGGAAGCCGGGAGAGAAAGCAGAAGGCTTGCCGTAGTCCTGGCAAGAGACACTGAGAGCCCTGGGGAGGGGATGGATGTGAGATATTCTGGAGAGGAGGTACAACAGACCACGGAATGCGTATGGAGGGTGAGGAAGAAGGAACGGTTAGGGTACCTGAGCGGTCCGGGTGGCGCTTTCAGTTGGAAAAGGAAGGAGGATTTGGTTCAGGTAGCAGGTATAGGCAATGAGTTCAAGGTATATGTATATATGTGCATATATATACATATATATGTACATATATATACACGTACATATATACATGTATATATATACATGTACATGTGTATACTTTAATGTTTAGTTGTATTTGAAAGAGAGAGGGAGAGAGAGCAGGAGAGGGACAGAGAGAGAGGGAGACACAGACTCCGAAGCAGGCTCCAGGCTCCAAGCTGTCAGCACAGAGCCCGATGCGGGGCTCCAACCCACGAACCACGAGATCATGACCTGAGCCGAAGTTGGACGATTAACTGACTGAGCCACCCAGGCGCCCCTCAAGTCATATATTCTGAGATGGAAAGGTTATGAGGATATTCAGAAGGAGAAACCCTGTAGGAAATGGGAGACAGGGATCCAGAGGTCAGGGGAGAATTTGGGGTCAGAAATAAAGGTTGGGGGTCCTCAGCATTTTGGGTGGTGAAGAAAGCCTTGGAGAGAATGAGGTCCTGCGTGGGGCGTGAATCGAGGGACCACAGTCCAAAGACAGAGTAGACAAAAACTGGTTAGAGAGCTAGAGGGAGAATCATGGAGGCCAAGAGAGCCCAGCGTCTTCTGGAAGGCACCAAGACGGGACACCTAAGCCTGCTTTGGAGGTCAGAGAGTGTTTACCTAAAGAGGGGATGTCTTAAGCTGGGCCTGAGGAGGACTGGGAGACGGTGGGTGGGGTGGTGCCTCAAAGAGTCAGTGGTGGGGACAGCAGACATATCTGGGAGATTGGAGAGTGAGTGGAAGCTGAGAAAGTGTGGGCCGCAAATAGAAACCATTATTTTTTGAAGTTTGATACTGAAAGGGAGGAAAAGATAGGCTGATGGTTGAAGGGGAAGTTTTCTTAGGACAGGCGAGAGCCACTGTGCTGACCGGCAGGATGGAGAGGTGAGAACTCAGGACCCGGGAGAGGTGAGAGCGGCCGCTCCGAGCAGAGGAAGCGAGGGGGGCGGGCTCAAGCTTTGGGTCTGGCGCACCTGCACCTCCGGTCAGCAACGCTGGGCTGCGCCCGGGCCCCCCTTGGCCCCGCTGATCTAGTCGCCCCGTTAGTACTTACTGAGCAGCACCTGGCAGAGGGCCTGCGCCACCGCGTCCCGGACTGGAAAGGTGACTGAGATCTAGGCTCTCCTCTGGAGGACTCGGTCTGAAGGGTGGAACAGAGGAGAAACTTAAGGTGAGCGTGGTGAAGGCCACGAGCAGGGTCAGCGCTGGCCGCCACAGAAGACAGTGGAGGTCACACACCCTAGAGCAGGTGACACCGGAGCTGAGCTGAGACCTAACATAGGAGCCGGCCCCATGAGCCCAGCTGGGCAGGGGAACAGGCAGAGCATCCCAAACAGAACGTTGCCCTCCAAACCCTCTCCCGCTTCCTCCAAGTACCCCCCTCTCAGGACGCCAGGAGCCTCTGACCTTCCTCCCTTCCCCCAGCACAGTCTTCACCCCTATTTAACTAACACCCCCTCCTGTGTCACAATGGGTTGTAGCCCCTCCTCTTTTAGAAACTTCTAAAGAAAGAGACTGGTCTCGGTCATCTTTGCATCTCCTGTGTCCACTGCAGTGCTCAGCACACAGTTAATGCTTAAAAATTACATATATATTTTATAAAGCATTGCTTAATTCTTCCTTCCTTCCTTCCTCCCTCCCTCCCTCCCTTTTCTTTCTTTCTTTCTTTCTTTCTTTCTTTCTTTCTTTCTTTCTTT